CTCTCACCCTAAAGATGAAAGAGAGAGGCAGGACATAAAGGATTATCGGTGTAGGAATGGGATTTCTGCTCCACCCTCAAACTGTGGAGACCCAACACCTTATACCCTTGTGTGAATGGTAATCCATTTTTCAACTCAACCTAGCCTTCCTAGCCCCAACCCCCGCCGATACTTTTGTGAAAAAACCGAATGTGAAGCACACCAGAAGAACGTCCCGATCTAACCCGCCATCCCTGCATCAAGAGAAAAAACTAATGAAAGCCAGAAAACCTAAAAGATAAAAAAGCCAAGAACACTGTCCGCAATTGCATTGGTGCGTATTTCGTTCTCGTAATGAGGGAGCCAATAACTGTACGACAAAAGAAGGTAAAAGCGTAAAAGACTGAAGAAAGACAGCAAGAGGCGACCCGAGCCAGAGGGATGAGAGGGACGTGGAAAATGGGTCCATAAGAGAAAATAATTCACGGACAATTCCGCATTAAATTTGCCAAACAGAGATGGCCTGAAGAATGTAGCTCGGGCTGCGGCTGTGGGACAAAGGGATCGCAGATATCCGATGGAAGGGGTGGATTCTTCATCCATTTCTTCCTTCGTTCTGACGTCTGATAAAAAAGAAAAAAAAAGTCTGTATTAATCCTCGTTCCTCGTATGAACTGAGTTACCACCTGCTCTTCTAGGTTATGAAGTTGAACTTATGAGATGGAGCAGCATCCACCTCCTCGTTCCTTCTCAAACGTCAACAGTGCCGCCCTAGTTGCTGCCTCAAACACATCATCCACTCCTTCGCCTGTTAAGCTGCTGCATTCTAGGTATTTCCTGGCGCCAACCTGCTTTGCAATTGTTTCTGCATATCCGGTTTGTACAAAGTGCAAGGATTTCTTGCGCATTTCTTCGCGGGCGACGGGGTCTTCGCGTAGATCCTTCTTCAGACCGACCAATATTATGGGAACTCCAGGGCAACGATCACGTGCCTCCTCAATCCACTGTACACATGGTCAGTTGGGGTAGGCGATATATGTTGTGGAAGCATCGACGTACTTTGTTGGCAACGTTCTCCAGCGAGTCAGGGGTGTCGACAGCATAGGCTATCAGAATGACATGGGCTTTAGCATAAGCTAAGGGTCGCAGTCTCTATTTAGTTGTGTGAGTAGTGGGAAGTAAGTACCGCTGATCAAGACAAACCTCGTAGTCCTCCTGGCCAGCGGTATCCCATAAAGCGAGCTGAACTGATTTTCCGTCGACCTGTTCTCAGCTGAATTAGCAGCCAACTTCGCGCAGGTACTGTTGATGTGAGGAGGAACTTCATACCCTGCAATCGGTCACGTAGTTTTCGAAGACAGTGGGTACCTAGACAAATTGTAAGCATGATTGAAGATTTCAATGGAATGTGAAAAACGAGGTAGGCGCACGTAATGCTATACCACATGTCAGTAAAGTTTATAATAAGACATGGTAGGGCTGAAGGAGCGGGAGATTATTTAACCTACTGTCGGAAAGTAGCCCAGAGTAAACACGCTTAACAGACTGGTCTTGCCACATGCACCGTCACCAATGATAACGAGCTTCCTGCACCAGAGAAAGATCTTGGTCAGCCATAAAAGCTCCACTGTGCGAACGGGGATCTCCGCATGTTGGATCGTAGCCCAAAACGAATACTGATTCATTTGATTGTAAAAGGAAAATCTATGCCTAAATTTGGCAATAACGCATCATCATGATGCGGATCCTTCATTTTGACAACACTAAGACAGAGGGAAAATTCGCACTAGTTATGCGAGAATAATGACGCGAAAGCGGGCAGATGTAGAGCGATAGAGAGAGCGAAATTGGAGGGGCTAAAAGAAAAAAGCAGGTGTATTTGGGACGTACCTTCGTATAACATTTTGGACGTTAGTATTCTGGGCCATTGCACTGAGAGATGTTAATTTGCGAGTTTAGAGATGAGGGCGGTTGGTGATGCGGAAGGTTCAAGGAAGGCAACGCTGTCGGTTGGGAGAAAGCTTGAGATTGTCGGGAGTGGGAGAGGGTGGTGGATTGACGAGCCCTTAATTTGTAGAGCCCGGGGGTGAAAACAAACTTTGTAGCGCAGATAGATGAGAGCCGAGGGTTTGGAGGATCAGGAGGAAGGAGAAGAGAAAGGGAGGATGCGGAGTAGAAATAAAGGAAGGGAGAGGGGATGGGTGGGGAGCAGAAGGGTCGGAGAGCAGAGAAAGCAAAGCCGAAATGAATCTGAGGATGAGCTGGGGGCAGGAGAGAGAGGGTCTCGGTGTCAACTTGCGAGATTTGCAGGAAGGTAAGCAATATGGGTAAGGTAGAGGAGGAGAAGGACGGAAGACACACCACACGCACGCACACACACCCACACCCACACGCACAATAGGATGACCACACACACACAAAACAAGGCGGAGGGCAGAGACAGGTGAGCAGCGAAGAGAGCACAGAGAGGGGGGGGATGAAAGAGCAGAGGGGGGTGGAGAAGAGGAAGAAAAAGTGCCTTGTGGTTTAGTACCAGTAAACTCCTCCCTTGTGCTTATATGAGAAAACAAGCAGGCATATCATACAATTGCGGGCATAATAGTACTCGAGTACAGTGTTACAGTGGTGATTGCAATGCAGAAGCGTGTTGTGCAGTATTTCATCCGGATACTGCTCTTGGTAATTGTTAGACGAGGGTTTAAGAGATATTTTGTTGCTGTTTCTAATGAATTTATTTATCATAATATCATACGCCAGTATTCGAGTATGGGGATGCTACTGCTCTTGTCAATAAACCGTTAGGTTGCGGTAAGACGTACGGGCAGACAGGGAGAGGGGAGAAAGGCCGCAGACAGCAGGCAGGCTTTGCTAGATATCCTCAGCTGCGGGAAATGCCCTTCAATTCCTCGCTTCGGGCCTGGGTGCCCCTCCTTACCCCCTCCCCGCGCATCCTTCAGCACTTTGACGAATACCGGTATCATGCTGGTATGCAATGTTATCTAATGAATCACGTAATGCTGCGGTCAACCAGCGGCGGCTTGGGTCCTCTTGACCTCACACGTCTTGGGCCTGAGATTGGCCCAAACGGAAAGTAGGGCTGGAAGGTTTATTGACGAAGAAGATTCGAACACGCAGGGTACCCACACACCTAAACCGCACACATTCGATACGGCCTTCAGTGTATCCCCACTGTAGCAAC